AGTCTAGATGTGCCTTTTTTTTACTTAAAAATAAAACCCATGGTTAAGTTTTTGATAAAATCAATGAATTGTAACAGTTGAAAAATTTTGTATCAACATTTTGAATGTTATTTTTTCATTGCTAAGACAAACGAAATGTAATAGTATAATTAGAATGAATTAATTATTTAAGAATAAGATATATGAACCATGCTATTATCTAACTTTGCATGAACATTTAATTTTTCTACCTTATAATTTTGCAGTTGGACTTACCAATTTTTTTTTTTTGAAAATTTGAATTGAATAATGTGAGATGCATTGTTGTATTTGGATTATTTAAATTTTTCTAAGTGTTAGTCATGAGGCTAGTAAAGAATGTAAATGATTTATATTGATTAATCATCTTAGATTGGCTATGTAGTTGTCAATTGACATTTAATTGATAGAAAGAGTTAGATTCTTTTGTTTTTGTTTTTCTTTTAGTATTTCTTCAAATTGATAAAAAGCACATAATTATATATCTATCTCTTGATATTCATATCAAGATTTTCCAAATGAATGTGAACTTTTTTTTCTTATATATTTATCTTTTATTCCAAGAGCATCTATTTAGTAATAGATATTAATAGATAGATAGATAGATAGATAACCAATCTACCAATCTATCTACGAATATGAGCAATGAAAGAATCCATCTCCAAGCGACTAACACCACCTTCCGTAACAGACCCCTTAATAGTTTTGCTCAATTCTTTAGCCCTTTGCCTCATCTCCTCTCCTTCTGCAGAATTCATCAATCTTCTCACAGCATTTTCAATAGTAACAGAAGTCACAGGTTCATCTCGCCGCGACCAGTCCCTTACTGGTAGGCCAATCTTCAGCAGCTTTTCCATCAGGACAGCGTTCCACGGCTGGTCAGTATGCATAGGCCATGCTGCCACTGGCACTCCCATGCTAATGCTTTCCATGCACGAGTTCCAGCCGCAATGACTCATGAAACCACCAGTTGATGAATGTGCAAGAACCTCCAACTGCGGTGCCCACTCCCTCACAACTATACCTCTCCCTTCAATGCTCTCTTCAAAGCCTTCAAGCAACTTAGCCCTTCTAACCTCCCCTTCAAAAATATCTCCTTTATCTGCATCCCTGAGTACCCATATGAACTTCTGCCCGCTTTTCTCCAATCCAATAGCGATCTCCACGGCTTCTTCATCTGATAATGAAGTTGTTGAACCAAAAGAGACAAAAATAACAGAGTCCTGGGCTTGCTTGTCAAGCCACTCCAAGCAATAGTGTCTCTTGTTGGAGTTTTTCAGCCCATCTATTATTACAACTGGATTGAGGGGACCAACAGCCCATTGCTTGTCATTATCAATTATACTGGTTTTTGTTAAGAGATCAAGGTAGGGACCCTCTATCTCTCTGCACGTATTCAGCAGGTATCCAGAGATAATTGGTTTGGAATCCAGTTGCAATTTTATAAATTCCATCATCTCTGGAGGCGTGCAACCTTCGTTGGATGGAAGAACTTTGAGTAGTTCGAGTAGTTCAGGCTCGGCGAGTGTAGGTTTCCCTTCTAGTTCCCAAATGAATGCGTAGCCATAGAAGGCCGAGAAGATACTAAAGCTGTATGACTCCACATTTGGAATCAAATGCGCATCCTGGATGACATATGACATGGCAGTCATAAATAACTACCAATCTTTTTGTTGCTCTTGAAAGTTGCTCCAAAAGTGCGTAAACTGGCTCGCGAAGTTTGATCGATGCATTAAACAATGGCACGAGTTGAACGGGGAATTTGTCCGGGCGTTTGGATTGGGCGGAGGAGTTTCGTAACAAGGGATAGAAAATTCGTGAAAATTGATGTTAGAAATGACAAGAGGATCCCAACCTTGGACGCGAACCTTTGCTGGCGGATATGGGTGGCCAGGCCAATGTAGTAAACGGGTATGTTATGGGAGGAAATGAGGCAGGAGAGATGGAGGAGTGGATTGAGATGGCCTTGTGCTGGAAGCGGAACCATGACCACAGTCACTGGAGTTTGTTGAATACTCCTAGTATTATGGCCTTGGTTTGGGTTTTGGCTTTGGACAAGGGCCATTTCCTTCGAAAGATTTGGGAACTGGCAGTCGTGGACAGCTCTTGACTGTCAGCTGGCTAAGATTTCTTTTGGTCTTTGTGGAATCATGGTAGGATTTTTTTGGTCTTATAGAGATGAAAGATGAAAGCTAGGGACGTAGGATTCCTAGTTGAAGTAGGATATCTTTTTCCACTCTGACCCCTTGGGTTTGTGAATGGCATGCAAAATTTGAATTTTGAATTTTGAATTTTGGATGGCAAAATTGAAAAGTTAATTCAATTATTCATATCAACAGTCATTTTTGAATTTTTAAAGCTGTTCAACCACATATGGGATCCTCTGTTTGGATTTTAGTGTATACTATAAAAATTTTTAAAAAGTACTCTAAAAGTTACTTTAAAAGGTATTTTAAATTTTTTTAATGTTTAAAAAATATTTCAAAATATATTTTAAAAACTCTACTACTCTTAAATATGCCAAAATATTTTCTAAAAATATCCCAAAATATACTCTAAAAACTCTGCTACAGTAAAATTTTTCAAAAACACCCTAAAAAACAACTAATCTTAGTTTCACTTACTAATACTGCTAATGTGACACATAACATTGAATGCATATTCAGGGGATGTTTGATAAATGTTTGGACAGGAAAGTGGAACCACGTAGTTTTGCATCGTAGATTGTATGTAATAATTAGGCACGAAGACAAAAGTTTCAAACCAAGATTTAGAAGCTTTTTTCCAACTCTGTGCCTTAGACCAAAGACACAGATCAAGAGTCTCTGCAATCACCAATCGCAATTGTATGGTACAATGTAGACAACAAGACAAGGGATATAAACACTAATACAATAAATATAGATATTAAGACAATAATATGCAAAAAACACAACAAATTTTAGCACTCCCTCAAAATTGGGTCCCCAAATCAATTTCATCCATCCAATTTCAAGTTGAGAACATTCCTACCATTAAATGCACCATACAATCCAACCTGCAATTGTATGAACCCTATCCCCAAAGACACATCTTGACTAAATTTTGCCTTGAACAGGCTTGCATAGATTTTGGATCAATTGGTTTCCATTATGTGCACTCCAATCGCGAGTGCTATAAGCAGACTGGGAAAACTTCCTCTATTTCCTTCAGTTATAAATTTTAAGATAGCTGAAAACTAGGTAAAAAAGTAAGGTATATCAACTAAACTAGAATGCTATATAAAATCGTAATATTCATTTGAGGAATGAAGTTTAAGTAGCAATTGATTTAAAGTAATTAAGTTCGGTGTACGGCGTTTTAATTTTATCTCTGTTCCCCTTCCTTTTAGATGTTTAGTTTTGAATTCTCGTGATTGACAAGCCTAATAATTATCAAGACAAAAAAAATTAAAAATAATGAAAGGAAAATGATAAATACTTGTTGGTAATGTTATAAACCAATAGTGCAATTTCAGTTTGCATACTTGATATTTCAATTAGCAAATGTATTATTTGCGTGCAAGATGTTTCAACCAGCTATTTTGTTAGATGGGAGATTTATTACTTTACCTCCATAACTTGGCTCTAGTTTCAATCAGTTCCTCTAAAATGACTTCAAATAAACTATTCTGTAAGCCCTTCTTTCGTGTCAAGATCAGGGTACTAAAATGAAATGAATTAAATTAAACTAGGTTTTCTTTGCGTACTTGAGAGAAATGTTACAACTAGCTAGTTTGGCAGGTCCGAGCTAGATTTATAGATTTAGCTCCATATATAATGGTTTATGGTGGCGCTGCATTAAATGAAATAAATAAATATTAATTGTGTGCCCCTCTTTCATGTCATTTTTGTAGTACTCCATTAAAAATGAAATAAGCCACTGCCACAAGTTGCTAGACGTGGAGATATATAGCTTTAGCTCTGTAGGCATGTAAAGTTCCAATTAATTCCTATTTTGGCATTTCAAATAAGTTTATGGTGCTACATGGAAATGACAAACCATCAATAAAGGTTTCATTTGCATATACTAATATGCGTACGTAATATTTCAACTGACTAGTTCTTTTCCCAGATGGGCGATTGATAGCTTTAACTCCATAAGTTTGGCATTTGTTTCAATTAGTCTGGATAGAATGTTTAGGAATAAATTATTTTGTGAGCTCTTCTTTCATGTCAACCTTATGGTACTACAATGAAATGAATTAAAACCAATAGTATAGGTTTTATTTACATATTTGAGAATATTTCAACAAGCTAGTTTGGCAGATTCGAGACTTATAGCTTTAGCTACATATTTAGTAGTTTGTGGTACCGCATTAAATAAAGAAAATATAATAAATAATTGTGCGCATTACCACTGGCATGTCATATTTATGGTGATAAATTAAACTGAAATAAGCCAATACCATAGGTTGGTAGACTTGGAGATTTATAGCTTTACCTCCACAGGCTTATATTGATTCCAATTAATCCATATTTCATGGTTGCAAATAAGTTCTTGGTATATATTGAAATGAAAAACCATTCACATAGGTTGCATTTGCAGGTGCTGATGATGTGCATTCTTAATATTTCAGTTAACTAGTTATTTTACCTGATGGGAGATTGGTAACTTTAGCTGCATAAGTTTTGGCACCAGTTTCAATGAGTCCCTACACTACAACAAAAATGGTCTTTTCTGACATATCTATAAGGACACTTGTTGGTTTGTACCATTATAAAACTTCTATCATGACACTAGTTATCAACTCAATAATATATACTCTAATTTTTTTTATTTTATTTGATATAAAAATAATAATGTACCTTTAGACTCCCTATTATGACACTTACGAAAATGTGAGATACACCAAAAAAAATTAAAACACAAAACGACGTCATTGGATTTTGGCGGAAGATTCCTTTGCCAAAACACTCAGTGAAATCTCAAAACTTCATTTTGCCTCCCAGTGAAATTTTGCTTCTTCTTTATCTCTCGCACAAAGTCTCTTTCTCGGCAAACTGTCTCTCAAAACTCTTGGCCAAAATTTTGCTTTCCCGCAGAGTTTTTCCTGTTGAATCTCTCCGCAATCAAACTACCCTTACTTTCCCATTGAAGGTATGTAATTGCATGATAAATTTTTGCCCTAAATTGATTTCTCTCGGTTGCTAAATATTTGCCCTCTGCCTCTCTCGGCCACTTTTCTCTCCTCTGCTCCCTACCTCCGCCGTCCCGTCGCCCCTACTCTTTCCCTCTCATCATCAGGTTTAGGTTCGTCAAAACCAGAAAATGGAACAACATGACATTGAAGAGGACGAGTTCGGATTCTCCAGAAATTATTTCTTAGCAAACGAATTAGGCAATTCCGGTAAGAAATCCAGCCGCATGCTCGCAGATATCGATGTCGTCGATGAACAGGTTATACTCTGTAATTTTTCTATATGTAAATTTTGGTTGGTGGTTTCCTGCAAAAAGAGTTACGTTTTTGGGCCTTTTCCTTACTGAATAATGCAGGAGCTAAGGGAAGCCCTCGCCCATCTCCCCAACATTTCTAATTTCCAAATTGGTGTCCGACGAAAATTAGGGCTCTGAGTCTGAGAGAGACCTTAGATTTGGGGCAGTTATTCTTTCTTCGATTTTAACGATCAGCAGCAAATGTCGCCTCCTCCTGGACCCTACTCCGGCACCAGCACTCTCGCCTTAGTAAACCATCTACCTCCGCCAGCTTTAATTTCTCACAATTTCATTGATGTCTGATCTAATTTGGATTTTTTTCGTTTTCGTATAACTGGTGGCAGGTGGCTCGTGCTTCAGCCTTCATGTTTGGAGTCGTCTATGGAAATCTGAAACTTAAGTATCTTAAGGTATTATTCTCTATTATTTTTCTATTTTTCTCTAATTTTCTTTTGTTTACTTTTGTCTGATTTTGAGTTCTTTTTGGGTAATTATTTTTTGTTAGTTGGTGATTTGGGTTTACATAGTCAGAAATGAACATGTATGGTGCATTTAGATTTGATATTTTTTGGGGAGTTTTACAGTCCCTTTAGGGTACTACATGGATGAGATTAAAGGACTGTAGCATTTTGTTGTTTTTTAAACTGAGTGTTAGAGAGTGGTTTTAGAGGATTAAGCCGTAGAATGATTAGGCTTTATAAATCATAGCTTGCTTTATTCGTTACCCGAATGTAGACTTGTATAATTTACTTTAGTACTTGGTAATCACTGGGAACTGATTCAGTTTGTTGAGTGTTATAAGAAGTACTGGTAGGCTTTGGCAGCATAGGGGTGTATTAATAATGAGTCGTACATGGATATTTGAGAGGCTTGAGTCATGGGGATTGTAGCTTCTGATGCATCTGTGATGTTGAATTGGTGATACAATCAGCACTAGTTTATCATGCTGTTGGATAGCAGTTAAAAGTTATCTTTTCGTGTGAGAGAGTATATAGACAAAATGCCGAAACTTTAATTTGTCTCCTTGTCGTGGTTGCCTTTGGTGAGGTTCTGACCTGATTTTGCATGATCCCTTAATCTGATTTCGAAGAAGTGCTTTGATCTGATGTACGAGTTTATAACTTTGAACTTGGACAACATCTATGGTTATGTTTGTGTGAAATAAGATTAAATTTTGCTAGCATATGATTCTTTAGCTTAAGGGATGCTTGGTATCGAACACTGTTCTGACTGATCATGCTGGTGGTTCTACCATCATTTTCATAAAAGAGAGAAATTTAAGAATCTCTCATGCCTCTGAGCTCCTGAATCTGTGCACTTTTGTGTCTGCATCCACACTCGTCCCTTTTGTCGTGACAAATGCCCCTTGTAGTTGGTCAAACATAATATATATTATCTGATGTTTAAAGGAGAATGATTAATCTGCTTAGTCATACTGTCTTTTGTTCAGTGTATTACTTGACAGTGTTGGTACTGTGATCACTACTGTATGTAATGTTGCCTGGACGACGAGCTTTAGTTTCAGCTTGTTGACAATGTTTGCTGTTCAGGCACCAGTTAGTGATTGGGAGTACAATGCTACGCTCCCCAAAACTGCGACACCTTGAGCAATCCATACACAGAGTTTGCATAGGCAACCATAAATACAGAAATTACAAATATGATCCCGGGCTGCATAACTAATTCCAGAATGGCAAAACTGGCAGCAGTTTAGTGCATAAGATGCTCCTCTAACATACTACAAAAACCTTCCTAAAGGGGATAGCATTATAACTAAGTCTTCATATAACAAAACTATATTGTAGGCGTTTCTGGAACTTGGTTCTCACAATAAACAATCACATACCCCACTTTCCAAATTTTCAAAACATAGGTGACAGGACCAGGTTAGTGTTAGGTACATACGTGATTTTGTGTCCAAAAAGTTTTGAGAAAAAAGGAATAAAGAAAAAAGAATCCTAGTTTTCGATGTACAAAAAATCAAAGGACAGTTTGATCAAGTCCAACAGTCTAAACTGCAATATCAACCAAACATAGTGGAAAAAGAACAGAAAAGATTGACTGAACCTGGACAGATCTACTAAGAAGATCCATTAAGAAGAAAATGGTAGATCTCTAAACATTTATGCCTCAGACGTCAATCTAAAGCATTTTTCAGCTATCAAGGAGGAGATGGCATTTCTTGAAATATGGCCATCAACTTTATTATGCCCCTTAGCTCAAATGGAAAGTTTCCTACAGAGTTGCATGTAGGTCTGACACCCCTTCTACCTTTATTGTTTGACAATCTTGTATTCTTATTTTAGGGGGTCCTAATTAAAGATAACATAAGCACTGGAAAAAGGAGCAGAAATGTAACAGCAAAACCAAAAAGCACTGAAGATATAGCTTTCTTGGTGGCATCTGATAAGTAGCAACAATTAAGTCTCCTAACCTCTGTACTCCCGTATAAGTTCAAGATAGCAGTATGGGGCAATAGCTTCAGCAAACTCTCACATAGGGATAGGTGCAAAACTTCACCAGTTAAAACTAGCAACTTCAAAGAACTACGAAGTCCCATATAATGTGGACCTTGCAAAGGAAGGAGGACTGCTCTCAATAGTGATGGAACTGCAAGTAGGAAATTGCAGTACATAGTTATGTCCAATATCTATAATTTTTTCCATCGCATTTGATAGACCAAAGGCTATATTTCTAGCATGACATGATTTCCAGTAGGTTGAATTGCTTGAACGCAAACTATTTCCTGGGGTGTTATTATATTATTATTGTTGCAATTTTTTTCCTATCATTTTCCAATCTCAAATGCTCAAGAATTGGAAAAAAAATTTCTGTTTCCCCAGATCACTGGATACACTTTTCTTCATCCCTTCAATTTCTCGGCTGTTTTCTCTTCTTCTGAAGGATTGGCACTAACCTCTACTAAAGCATAGCCGGACTGCTCCACCTAGAGATGGCTGAAGGAAGTGGAAATGAGGAGACAACTCTTGAGCATACATCAACATGGGCAGTGGTAGTTGTTTGTTTCATCTTGATTGCTGTTTCCATACTTATTGAACATGGTCTTCATCTTCTGGCTAAGGTAAGCCATACATTTCTATTATGATTCTACTAATGTTTGAAGCACTAAATGTGAAATTGCTATCTATTTTGAATGAGTATCTGTTTCTATGAAAACTTTGGCCAAATATGCATATGACAATAGTTTCTAATGAAGTTACAAACGATGCTGAACCTCTGGCATTATACCAAGAAGGTGTTAATCAAGTTAACTGGTTACACTTCTAAGCCCTTGCCTGTGGGCAGAATCTGAGCTAGCTTTATTCATTTGTAGCAAGAAGTAATTTTGCATGCCAGTGCCATGCATTGTTGACTAACTTGTCGCATTCAGTGTTTGGACAAGTGGGAGTATATTGGCGGCACTTGGTTCCTTTCAGCAAATGTGGTTTTCAAAATCTGAGTAAGCTTTTACATCCACTCTACCTTTCAATATTCAACTTTTTTTCTTTTTTTCTCCCCATTTTCAGTCTGTTTTATCTCTCGATTAACAGGTTTGAGGAACATGGAACTTCTTATGTTCAAAGAAAATGCCCGTAAAGTACTTTACTGGTGCAAACAATTATCACATTAGACAGAAATTCATGGAGCTGACTTCACTTTGATTAGTTTGCTGACGGTATGGGTTGCTCGGTTTTAATATCCTGCTTTATAGGAGCCCAAACAATGTACTATATATATACTATACCTCTCGCGGATCGTTGCTAATATTGTACAATTACGTTACCTGACTTTTAGCATTTCTTTCAACTTGTTAGGGATGAGAGTCTTTTTGTTTGTGCACAAGAAAGTCTTTCAAGTTATTGTAAATGAGAATCTTTCGGTACTTTATTGGGATTTTAGTACTTGCTTTGAGCACTTGTTTGCGATTTTAGTAATTGCTATGTTTGTACTTGTTATCGACTTTTAATTCAATGAATTATATTTGAGTATCGACTTCTTCTTTTAAATTGCTATATGCATTCTGCTCTTTGAGATAATTTTACAAGCCCCTTAGGATTTTGGTTGATGGAATGTACAGCAGGGAGGACTAATTGCAGGTTGCTTCCATATAAAAAAAAAAACAGGGAAAAAACTCCTGGCAATTAAAAGTGTCAGCATAGCTTAGCTTCGAAAAACACTAGTGACAAATGGGCATGTCGTCCAAAGCAGTGTAAATTCACATGGCTACGTGTCCTTAAAGTCATATATTAAGACAACTAAAGATGCCTTCATAAATTGGATATACTACTGATCCGCTACTGATGTTCTAATGCTATACGGACACTTTCGATTATCACAAAAAAAAGTTTTTGTTGGCAGAGGGAATGCTATAGCAGCATGGTTTTCCGGACACGTTTGAATGTTGCTAAAGATTTGAGGCTATCCCCACATTGGAAGGGACAACACTCGCCCTAGGTGTGAGGATAGATAAAATGTCAGGTTAGATTATCTATACTGACACTTTTAAATGCCGCTAAAGGCCATTTTTGTTGTAGTGCTATAAAATGCCTTGAAATAAATTATTCCGTGAGCCCTTCTTTCATCTCAAGCTTATGGTACTGCATGCAATGAAATGGATTAAAACCAAGAGTATAGATTTTATTTGCGTACTTGAAAGTATTTCATCTAGCCAGTTTGGCACATTTGAAAATTATTATAGTTTTAGCTCTATATCTGATGGTCCAAGGCACTGCATTAAATGAACAAGTAATAAATAGTTGTATACGCCCCTCTGGCATGTCATGTTTATAATACTGCATTAAAATGAAATTAGGCAAATACCATATGTTGCCAGGCTTTACCATATGTTGCTAGACTTGAAAATTTATAGCTTTAACTCCACAAGCGTGCACTAGTTCCTAGTAATCCCTTTTTTATGGTTTCAAATAAGTTCAAGGGAATACATTGAACATGAAAAACCATTCACATAGGTTTAATTGGCATATGCTGATATGCATACTTACCTTTTCATCTAACTAGTTATTTTGCTCGATGGGAGATTGATAGTTTTAGGTTCATAAATTTGTTACTAGTTTTAATCTGTCCTTTTAGAATGCTCTGAAATAAATTACCATAGGCAGGGGTGTGAATCGGAATCGAAATCGGTAATTCAAAACTTTGAAATCAGAGTTTTTCGGAATTTTGGCATCAGAATTTTCAACTGAATTTGATTTTGAATTCATCAACTCCAAATTCGAATCCGTTCCGAATTCACCGAATTTAGGAACATAAAAATTATTATTATTATATAAATGTTATATTACATATATATATTATATATATGAAAAATGAATTTGAAATTGAAATAGAAAATTGGAATTCCGATTTCAAATGGTGAATTCGAAATCGGAATTTCCTATTTGAAAAATTCCATTACCGAATTCAAACCAAATTCGCATAATTCGAAATCGAAAATCCCGACTTCAGTCCCAAATTTTGAATTACTGATTTCGAAAAATTTGAATTCGATCGGTAAATCGAAATTTTTCGATTTTGCACACTCCTAACAATAGGAGTGTCAAACTTATGGCATCGCAATGAAATGAATTAAAACCAGTAATATAGGTTTTATTTGCATACTTGAAGCATTTCAACTAGCTGGCTTGGCAGATTTGCAAGATTATAGCTTTAGCTCCATATATGATGGATATGGCACTGCTATGAATGAAATAAGTAATAAATAATTGTGAACGCCCCCTCTTGCACGGCATGTTATGGTACTGCATTAAAACAAAATAAGCCAATACCATAGGTTACTAGTTTCGAGTAATCCCTTTGTTATGGTTTCAAATAAGTTAAAAAGCTACAACATTGAAATGAAAAACCATTACCCTCAAAAAAAATGAAAAACCATCACCCTCAAAAAAAAAAATGAAAAACCATTTACATAGGCTTCATTTGCATATGCTGATATGCTTACTGTATTTCATCTAACTAGTTATTTTGCTTGATGGGAGAATGACAGATTTAGCTCCACAAGTTTGGCACTAGATTTTGTTAAGCCTTTCGTAATAATAGTTATGGTACTACGATGAAATTAGGTGTGTCAATAAGTAGAGTATGGATTGCATCCATTTGATATAGATTCAAACCCATTAAACAAATTCATACCCAGACCTAGAACCTTATAGGTCTGAAAAAGTAAATTCAAACCCGAACCCTCATGGATTTAGATATCCAATGTGTATCTATGAATATTTTTCAGAACATATAGTAAAGAACTAAACGAAAATTATTTTGAAAATATATAGAGTTCAAAAATAACATAAATACCATCTGATTTTAATTTTCGAATAATAAAATTACATTCAAGATGTTGAATGCAATATTATAAACTCAAAGAAATAACTATTATCAACTAAAACTATTTATTTTCAAAGTTTCGTTTGCATCTACATTCAATCTTTCATTTATTTACTTTTACTTTTTCACCTTTTCCTAAAACGGTTTGTATCAATTACAATGACTTAGAATATTATATTATTTTATAAATTTATTGATATATATATATATATATAATATTTATGCATGGGTTTGGTTAATGTCAGATAAGGATCTAGATTTGGGTTTGGATTATAGAAAATTAAATTATGCCCGAATCCATGACTCTCTTACAGGGTCTGAATTTGAGTAAACTCTAGGTTTGACAAATTAAACCAAACCCTTTCACATATGTTAGGTCTGTATTGAATTTAAATAAGATCCGACCCATTGACATGCCTAATTGAAATGAAACAAATTAGTAGGTAGACGATACTGTCACAGCAAAAATTTTCGTGTCAAAGCAAACTGCCTTAAAAGTCCCAAATGCCCTTCACTACCTGTAGTCAAAATTTCTAGTCAACGTTTTACGACCCACCAAAACACACACTTCCTTGCTCTCTCCTCCCCTGTTGGGGAACCTAGGGGTGCAAACGAGCAGCTCGAGTCAAGTTCGAGCTGGCCGCAAAATATTAAACTTGAGCTTGAGTACATATATATATATTTTTATTTTTTAATAGTAAAATTACATATGTATCCTTAATATTTTATTATTTATTAAGAAAAAATATTATTTTATTTATTTTTTAAAAAATAAAATAATTATGTTTATTTTTTTTGATCTCGAGCTCGAGTTTCAAAATTGTCAGCTCATCGAGCTCGAGCTCGAATTCGAATTAGATAAAACTAAGTCAAGACTTGGCACGATTAGACCAAAGTTCGAATTTACTCGATTCGTTTGCAGCCCTAGGGGAACCTCTCCTCCTTTAGTATCATCTTCCTTTCTTCTCCACTTAATTTACACAATAAATGACGTGCGCGGAGTATACATATACAATTAAGCTCATCCTAATCAAGTTTTACATTTATAAACTCCTAAATACCCCACACGCGATTTATCGCAAGTATACGAATCGTGAGCGAGTATAGGGTATTAAGGGTCGATCCCACAAGGAAGATTGCAATTACCGGTACTACTAAAGCTTCTCTATTATTTAGACTATCAATGAATTATAACAAATTAAAACCTACTAAAATTATACAAGAAAATAACAAATAAAAGCTCCTTAGGTTGTGGTATCCCCAACTACTCATGCAAGTGCTATATTTGGATCATTTAGTACTACATCTAGGCTAGTTATAGTGTAATTTCCTTAAACATGTGAAACCTACTTTCGTAGTGAATCAACTATACTCATAACTAATCCATACCTATTTTCATGGTTATGAAATTAGCTACAAGTTCATTTCTTCAATGAAATTACATGAAATGAATCACTAAAAACCACATAAGTGCACCTCTACTTTCGTGAGTGTACTCCTTATGTTTAGCACTTCTTGAACTAGTGTTAAATCTCAATTTTCATTGCAGAAACAACACCTTAGATAATCACAATCAATGGTACCAGATTAATCATGATTTAAGAAGCCAAAGTGCTAAATAACTTGCTCAAATCGTAGCAATCAAATAACCAAACAATTAACACTAACAATCATAGAAAGTTCAACCAAACCCAAGGTATAAACTTTAGAAACACATAATGAACACAAAATCCAGAACTTGTATATTAACTAAACTTGGAATCAAATACAAAAGATAAAGAATTTGGAAGGAATACAACCCTTGTCACATGAGCTTTCTTCCTTGCCTTCTTCATCCTCCATCTTCATCCTAATCTAGATAATAAACAAGAATGGAAAAGCTACACTACTCTATACTAAACTAAACTAACACTTAGGAAGATGAAAGAGCTACATTTCTGCAGCTTCAAGCTTTCTCCCGTAGCTCACTCTCTATTTTTCTGCTATGAACTCCAATCTCTTCCCTTTTTTGCAATGAATTTGGCTCTTTAATGATGAAAGGTTGGTCAAGAAATGAGGCCTAGACCACTCTTTTACAGCTGCAAAGTAGTTCTCACATGTCTGGCATTGCATGTGACTTAGTGGAGGTGAAATTGAGTTTTCCGCGTAAAAAGCAGCCTTCTCTGACCACAATCCGGCCAGGAATCCGGCCACAAATCCGGCCAAATTCAGGCCGGATTGCTACAGTAAATCTGGGCTGCTACAGTGATCCGAGCTGCCACAGTACCTCGGATCCGTATGGATCCGAGCTCGGTTCCACTAACCCAGAAACAGCCGAGGGTTCGGATGAATAGTGGATCCGAGTGTGGATCACTTGCTCTGTTTTTTGCCCAACTTCAACCGATCTTTTCTTGATGTTAGAGGCTGAACCAGCTCATGTCTAAAACACGAAAGTTGTAGCCTTTTGAGTTATCTTTCTAATGCATCAAGAATCACCTCATTTGGATCTGTGTAGGCTGAGATATGACTGAAATACCCTTGCCTGCTCCATGCCTTGTTCCAGTTTCGACCAATAACAATTGACTCTGTACTTCGGCTTTTTGACCTGGAAAAC